GATAAGATTGCTGGTGAAACTCTTCCTGGAGCACATGATCAATTTATCTACACTCGTCATGAACCAATTGGTGTATGTGGACAAATCATTCCATGGTAGGCTAAAACTTTTGTATATTCTTAAGATAATATCTGAATTTTTTCTAGGAATTTTCCTGTATGTTTTCTGTTGTTAATAAAATATATGAATATCTTATTTGACTATATTTAGTTGTTAATGATGGCATGGAAATTAGGACCGGCATTAGCTTGTGGTAAGTCAACATACTTTTTCTTCCATATCATTTATTATTGATCTATCAAACAGGAAATGTTATCATCCTCAAACCAGCTGAACAAACACCACTCACTGCACTCTATTGTGCTGCTCTTATCAAAGAGGTATCTATTACATAAATTTATATTTCCTTCTATTATCGATATTATGTAGGCTGGATTTCCACCAGGTGTTGTCAACATTATACCAGGTAAAATAAAACATATTTATCACATTACATTTTTATAATAATATATATCTATAGGTGATGGACCTGAATGCGGTCACGCAATTGCAATTCATGAACATATTGATAAGGTTGCATTCACTGGTTCAGTTGAAGTAAGTTGATTTGGATGAAAATAACATATACACCAAATATTTGATTAAAGGTAGGAAAGAAAATACAAGAGGCATCAGCTAAATCCAACCTTAAACGTGTTTCACTTGAACTCGGTAAGTTATATTTGATGTGAAGACGCTGTTGATTATTTTGTATTAAATGTGTATAGGTGGAAAATCTCCATTAATTATTTGTGAAGACGCTGATAGTAAGTATTATGAAATAATCGAAATAAATTAATTTCTTTTTTTTTTAAAGTTGACTATGCTGCCGGACTTGCTCATTTCGCAATCTTTTTTAATGCCGCACAATGTTGTACCGCCGCTTCTCGTACATTTGTTCACGCAAAAATCTATGATCAATTTATTGCTAAAAGTGTTGAATTAGCTACGAAACGTGTTGTTGGTGATCCATTTCATCCAACTACTGAACAAGGTCCACAGGTAAAGAAAGACTCTTTGATTATTATCAAGTAAAATATCACTTATACAATATGTAGATTAATGATACTCAATTCGAAAAAATATTGGGTTATATCGAACATGGTAAAAAAGATGGAGCTAAATTGGAATGTGGTGGTGAACAACATGGTGAAAAAGGTTATTTTATTAAACCAACAATCTTTAGTGGTGTCAAAGATGATATGAAAATTGCACGTGAAGAAGTATGATATTTAGTTTGATTAAGTCTTATACTAATAGAACGAAAGTTTAGATTTTTGGTCCTGTAATGTCAATATTAAAATTTGATTCCGATGATGAAGCTATCAAACGAGCCAATGATTCAACATTTGGATTAGCTGCTGGTGTCATAACCAAAGATTGTAAGTGAATAGTAAAACTGCTGAATTAATGATTATTTTTTCTTTTATTAATTAGTAACTCGTGGTTTAACATATGCAAACAGATTACAAGCTGGTTCTGTTTGGATAAACAGTTTTCATGAGGTATCCGTTCAAGCACCTTTTGGTGGATATAAACAATCAGGTCATGGACGTGAATTGGGCAAAAATGGTCTTGAAGGATATTATGAAGTCAAAACAGTTGTTGTCAAACTTGTTTAAAAAGGAAAAGTGTCTATCATAAACATTTATTCTAAAGTTTTTGTTTTAATTTTATTCAGTATATTTTAAAAAAATAAAACGTATAAAGTAGCAAAATTGATTTTAATTCTAAACTATATAATAACGATAATGACGAATGAAGAAAAGAAAGAATCCATTGATTCCAATGTTATGTCATATAAGTTATTCGACGACAGAAGAAAAGAAGAAGAGGGAAAAAGAATGAGTTCAAATTTAATGACAAATAGCGTAAGTTCATCGAAATTTTGTTCATTCTGTATACGAACATGACTTTTTTTCTAGTCTAGAATGAGCAACATTGTCCTTTTCTGACCTTTTCTGTATATTGCGAATGTGTTATTCAGACGCCGTAATCGACTGAAAAAAGTGTCTAACTGAAAAAGAAAAGAATGCCACGCGGAATAAGTTGGAGTTTTAATGAAACTGAAGCATTAATTCGTCTTTGGGCGGATTCAACAACTCAAACAGCATTACGTTTAAATAGTCGAAATCGTTGTATTTATGAAGATATTGCTAATCAACTTCAAGCTATTGGAATAACTCGTACAGCTGATCGTATGTTGAAATAATATTATTTTTTTTGTTAAAAATACATATTTTAGAATGTCAAATGCGTATTAAATTACTAAAAAAAATGTATCGACAAGCAAATGATGCTATGAAACGTGGTGATGTTTTTCAACAACGTCCATGTCCATTCTATAGTGAAATGCATCGAATTTTTTCCGGTACTGAAGATTCTAATGGTAATTCAACATTATCAAATTCTCATTCATTATTAAACGATGATCAAGGAGACGACGAAGAAGAAGACGGCGGCGAAGATTATGATGAAATAAAAAATCTTGAACAAGAAAATGAGAATAAAATACAAGTAGATGATTCAACGGAAGATAAATTAACTCAAGCTATTAATCGAATGATTCAATATCAAAAACAAAATGAAGTCTCGATATTGATTATAATATATATTTATAATATTCATTTATTCTTTTGCTTTTTTTAGACACGTTGGTATAAATATCTTGAACAACAAGCTAGTCTTGAATTACAACGTCGACAAGAAGATCGAGCATATCAACTTCAATTAATACAACTATTAACAAATATTATTTCAACAAAAACTAATCCTTCATCATTACTTCAACAATTACTTATTAATAATAATGATTTTCAAACTGATAAATCATCAACACAAGAAGATGATCATCTAGATCGAGGAGAAAAACGTAAATGTTCACCAATATCATCAACTGAAGAAAAAAAATCTAAATTTCGACAAACATTACCATCGAATTTCTATTCACTTCTTGCTCAAATTCATAATATCAATAATATGGATGATAGTTAACATAGTTTATTTTCATTGTATATTATTTGTTTTGGTCTTATTGTAGAAATAAATTCCTTCAAATTTCATTTAAACAAAAAAGTTATCTTTTCTTGCGTAAATATTTCGAAAGTAGAAAATCTACTTATTACACATTGTGTCTTATTGAAGTTTTTCGGAATTATACATATATCAATGATATCTTCAATCTTTTGTTTCCGTTTAAAAAAAATCATATCGAACATACAACGACACTGCAAAATAAAAGAAGAAAAAAAAATAACAGAAATATTCTCAGTGGACGGATATTTCGTGCTGTGTTTGGAAGCAAAGAAGAAGAAGAAGAAAAAAAAACAAAACGATAAGAGAATAATCCAAAAACAAACAAAAGTATAAGACAAAAAAAGAATATAGGCTATTCTATCATATAATTGACATACATATATATATATTCTTGTGAATTTTTTTTTCTTTTATTTTAAATAAAAATTCTTTTCATATGTGTGCATTCAAAAAAAAGAAAAAGAAAACAAACTATTATTAAGAATAATAAAGACGAGCAAATAGAAAGTAAAAATAACATATTTGCTTTTTAGCAGAAAAAAATATGTTGTATACATTTGTCTAATATATGTAGGGGAGAATAAATTTTCTTTTTTTCTATATTCTATCATTACTGTTATTGAGAAATGTTTCTATCAACTGAAGCAGATTCATCTTGATGATAGAAGAGTGCTAAGCGCTCTTGAATTGCATCTGATTGATGTGGTTGTCGTCGATCAAATGAATAGGATTTACCTTGAGCATCAATAAATATTTGTTTATCATGAGAATCAGCACGAATAAGCAACTGACTACCATCACTAAATTCTACATGAAAAGTTCCGTCATCATATTGAGTAATCCGTTCTCGAGTTAATGATTTATGATTCGTTCCAATTGGCCTTCCTGATAATGATCCAGCAGTTAGTGTTGAACTAACTGATGTTGGACGATTAGTAGAAAAAGATGAACTAGATAAACTATCTGAATATGGTTGGACTGATTGTGAACGAGGAATTGTTATTGGTATAGATGATGGAGGCATATAAGTTACTTGAGGATTTGAATCATTTGAACGTAATGTTGATGATGAATTTGAATGTTGAATATTATTACGTAAAATATTTGTTGATGATTGTGTAGCTGTTGAAGTTGAAGAATTCCGTCCTTTTCGAAGATCAATATCAGAACTAAATTCCGGTCGAGTAGATAACATAGGCGTACAAGGACCAAATGATGATGAAGATATTATACGTGGTTCATTTATGGCTGTTGATGAACCACCAAATCTATTTATAACAGTTCGAGTATTTGTACATGGAGTATCTATATAAAAAAAGAAATTTAAGGACATGTTCTTGAATAGTATAAATAATCGCTGTTCTACATCATGTATAAAGTTATTTAAAGCATTTGTTTAATTAACTAATACTTTTAAATTTTGTCCTCAGTTTTATTAAAAGAAAACTTCATTAAATAATAATTTGTTCAAGTCGTAATTAACAGATTACTTCTAAATAGAAAATAGAAGAATGTCGTAGATCTAGGCGAACCCATTTTACTAATTTATGTCTCTCTCTCTTTCTGCTAAATATAATTATTATGCTCATATACATGTATGAATAACTATAAATAGAAAATTATTCTTACTTGGTCTATTAATATCTGGTTGTACATGCTTCTTTCCAAATTGAACAGGAAAAACTTGAATAGATGGATATTGTTTTTGACCTTCTTCAAGAACTTTATCTTTCGTTAAACAAAATTTATAACACTAGAAATAAAACATAAGAAATAAATTGAAATAAAACTATATATATATTTACCATAATTGTTTTATCAATAATTTGTCGTATTTCCGGACTGAAGTGTTCGATAGCAGATACATTTGGTGTTGTAATACGATCATATTCTAATAATGATTCTGATTTATCAATATTATTAATAATTTTTATTTTTAATGGATCATCAGATTTAACATTTTCACGATATATTGTTATTTTAACTCCACATAAAAATATAGCTTCAAAATCAACACCTGTTTCCATTAATGAACATTTAGCATCGGATGTATAAAGAATTATTTTTGGCACACGTGATCGAACTAATGTTACAAATCTATAAAGAACATAAATAAATTCAATGAAAATTAATTTTCGTTTTTTAATTTACTTATGAGCATATTGATATTTTTTCCAATATTCAGATGGTAATCTATCGAAATGATATTCTTGATAGGAACTTTTTTCACGTGGAATTGGCGGAGGTTGATCACCTGCTTGTGTACCGTGACGACTATTTGGACTATAGGTTATTATATGTAAACCATCGGCGGATACACGAAATACATCAAAAACACGACGTTTAGGAAGTTTGGGACGTATACTTTCAAGTACAACTTCACCATTATCCATAATACTCATCTAAAAATTAAAAGAAAATTAGAAAAAAAGAAAGAAAAACGAATTTGAAATTTACAATTAATGTTTTAGTTGCTTGACGAAGTGTTTTTAATCTTTGTGTATTTAATGGTTGAAGTTTTTCACGTATTTGTTCAGGATTTATATCGAAAGCTTGTTCTTGTTGTTGAGAATTTAATAAATGTTGATGAGAATTTGATTTTGGCAATCGATTTGGTAATACAGTTGCTGTGTTATCATCATGACTATATAAAACTTTTAGACTTGCTTCCGATTTTGCACTACAATCAATAGAAGTTTTTGGATCCGATTGTGGTACACCACTATCTTGAGATCGAACTGATGATGAAGCACTAGTTGGACGATGATCCGTTATATTCATTGTTCCATTTGGATTATAATCATTGTATCGTGAAGATGTATCCAATGATGAACTAAAAGAAACGGATGAATAGATTTTATGATATTAAATTAATGATTAAATACTTGTGTGCTGTATTGATAGACTGTTGTTGCTGTAGTTGTTGTTGTGAAGGATGGGTAGGATAATATTCAAACATTTTATTGGAAGCAGATGTTATATTATAGTTCGGTTCTTTATAATGTGATTGAGCTGGAGGAGATATTGGATTGGGTCTGAAAATAGAGAGAGAAACGAATGTTTACAGAGAGAATATATTTATAATCATAAAAACTTACGAATAGAGACGTGGAATAAATGTTCCTTTTGCTATGGATGTACTGTTTGAAGTTGTACTAATTGTTGAACGTTGTTGTCCAATATTTTCAACAAAACCACTATCATGTGATCTATCAACTGCTGGTCCCCACTAGAATAAATAAATATTAAAATAAAATAAAATCTCCGAATTGATTTCAATTACTAATGCATATTTATAATTATTCGATTGAGATGAATGTGAAAAATCTTTTGAAAAAAATGGATGATCTCGAATTTCTAAAAAAATTAAAAAGCAAAATAATTTTCTTATTTAAAATATTTAACTAACCTTTTATATTTGGTCGTAATTCAGCTTTTTTTGTTAATGTACGATTAACAAGATCTTGCGCTTCTTCACTGAATGTTCTTGGTAATTCATATTTTTCATGTGTTACTTTTTTTAATGTTCCATGAACAGCTAGAAAAATATTTCTATCAATTTACAAATACCATCAAATTATATAAACATACTATCTGTATCAAAAGGAGGATGTCCAGTTAATAGAGTTGCAATAAGAATTCCTAATGACCATACATCAGTTGCATAACTATGCGGAGTACGACTTGCAATTTCACTATTAGGCGGAAAAAAAAATATTGATTTTATTTTAATTTTAAAAATATTTACGGAGAAATATAATTTGGTGTACCACACATTGTTTCATTGTTTTGATCACGTGCTAATTGTATTTTTTTAGCTAAACCAAAATCAGCTATTTTCTATAGAGAAAAAAGAAGTTTAATTATTATTTTAAATATATACAATATGTAAAATATTTATTTGAACACTTCAAATGTCTTTTTCTTTCCTCGAGAAGAAATCTTATAAAGAATAAGAATGATTTTTTCGGCTTCGATTATATCATTCATATGTCGTTTTCTTTCAAAAAAGGAATTTACATGCTAATGTGATGAATACTTGATACACAGAAGAAAGTCTCGAAAAGTGTAAAGATTTGTCAGGACTTTCGAATTTTTTTGCTTATACAGATCTTGGATATTTTCTTTAGAAAAATATTTTCGAAATAACTAATCGTATAGTCTTTTATGAATACAACAAAATCCATGAGTTCTGAAGTGTTTATTCAAGTGCGCGAAGAAAAAAATTCTTTAATCTATCTAGGTTAAGTACCTGAATGAATATCATTTTATCTTCCTTCCTGCACTTTAATATATATACTTTTAAAAAATAACGACCTATAATATTTAATTCTTTTAAAAACTATATATTTCTTTTTGGAAATAATGTAATTAGAAAATAATGTCTCAGAACAAAATTCAATTCAAGTTGACATTTTCTTCTCCTTGGAATGATGATTCATTTTAAACTGAAAAGATTTTTTTCCACTTGAAATACTTTGAAGTAACCTGGAGGCTTTTTTTTTTGTTTATTAGTTACATAGGTATATGTATTAACTGTCGAATAGGATATTATTCGAAATATTATTCATGATAGATAGTTAGAAGAATTAAAAATACTGAAATTGTTCTTTTGAAAGCTCTTCAAAAAGGTTCTCGAAGAAACGAGCTATCAAATAATATAACTGTCATTGAGAAAACATTTTATTATTAGAATTTCTTTTATATAAAATGATAAATAATTATTTTTGTATACTTACGACTTCATATGTATCAGTTAAAAGTAAATTAGAAAGTTTTATATCTCGATGAATGATTCTATGATTGTGTAAATAAACAAGACCGTTAACAACTTGTTTGACAATATGTTGTGCTAGATAACAAAATAGGAAAGGTTTTAAATTATATCTATATATATATTTCGTTGACATACTTTCTGATTCACTGAGTGATTTTTTTTCTTTTAAATAACGTTCTAGATCACCACCAGAACAAAGTTCAAGGATTAAATAAACATATTTATCATCGGTAAAATAATTTATTAATTCAACTATATTACAATGATGAACTTGATGATGAATAGTTAATTCAGCATTTAATCTTTCAACTAATGATGTTGAACGTGAACTAGGTAATAAATAACGATGATTACCATATGAAGGATGATTATGAACATTTTCTTGTTCAAGTTTTCCTCTATCAATCTATTTTTATATGATAAATTTTATAGCGAAAAAAATAAAAATAAATCTTTACCATTTTACAAGCCACAAGACGTCCATCGGATTTTTTACGTGCTTCATGAACCGTAGCAAAACCACCTTTACCAAGTTCACGTGTTAATTCATAGTGCTAGAAGAAAAATACATTTAATTATCCTAGATCTTTGACATTCGCACATACAGTTATTGTTTCTTCTAACCACATTGTGTGCGTGTGAAAAGGTTTTGAGGTATGATGTAAGTAAAAAAAAGGAATCTTACAGGATTAATCTATTACCGATAAGGACATTTTTCTTTATATTCTAGAATAAAAAAATACAAATGAAAAAAACTTGTTCTCTCTTTCTCTCTTTCATTGGCGTAGAAACAAATAAAAACATATATTTTTCTTCTTTTTTTTTTCTTCTTAAAACAAATGTACAATGTCGATCTTATTGACGTCGAATATAACAAAAAAGAAAAGAAGGATAACTCACTTTTTCCCGAAATAATACTTTGCTTTTTAATTAAAATATCCTTCAAATTTATATTTAATACAACAGAAAAAGCTACGATGCATTCTTTATTTATCTCACAAAAAAAAGTCTATTATTATTTAGTTTATTTGAATACGTTCAATTTTGAACAGAATCTCTTTTGTTGTTAACATTAAATTGTACATCATCTTCTAAACTAGCTATTCTTACAGGTAGAGAAGACCTCGACATGCAGCTGTAAAACGAAAAATTCGTTTCGTTTCTCTTTGTGATGGACACTTGAATGAAGTGGATGAAAAAAAAAAGAAAAGCAAAGCAGACATCATCGCCGCACTTTAATATCTCAAATTTTGTTCAGGTGTACTCATTCATTTTTTCTTTTGTATTTGTCTATCGTCTGAAAGGGATTGTCTTAATGGGAAGATGAATTTCTGTAGACAGTTAATGAATCTAAAGTAAACAAAAATCAACTTACACTTATTTCTTCTTGATGAAAACCAATCGACATTATACCAGAACTGGTGTCGCGCTTTATTTTCTTTTGTTCAATTGTTCAATTTTATACGTAAGAATCTCACTTGCATACTCGTGTACGACAAGCTAATGTAAATGTTCTATTTAAGAACAAAATGTTCATTGATCTAAAAAAACGAGAAGCAAGGAAAAAAAAAGATAAGTCACACCTGTCCGTGATCTATTTCAATTACTATTTCTCCTTCATCTGACAGATACCATGTTCAATGAAGAAAAAAAAAAGGAAAGAAAAATCAAAATGAAATAACTTCCACAAAAAGAGGAAAAAAGGGGAAAAGAACAAGAAGAAGAAAAAGAAAATGAGAATTATGAATTTTGCTCATGTAATGAATGGGTGTACGAGCGCGTTAGTAGTAAAACGAGAGAAAAGACACACACACACACACCCATATAGTGCGTTGCACATATACCAGCGAGCAAACAAGACAAGAAAAGGCGAAGAAGCAGCAGCGACAAAATTCACTATGGCAACGGACTCAATTGACAATTATATTAAACAGATTTGAAAAGAAATGGATTTTTCTATGAGTTCTTTAAACTACAAAAAAAGGACAATATTAGTCTTCTTATCCATGTATTTCAAAAAGACGCAACTGTGTCTTATCAAGAGAAGCACTGAAATGTAAATTGTTAAAGAAGAGGGCGCCCTATAATATTCCATTTGATGAGCACATCAATCTAAGTAGTAGAACTAATATATTAAACAATTGATCAAATAAATTAGCTTACAGATAACGGTTTTTTTATATTCCACATATTTTCTTTCTAACTATTAACTAGAAAAAATATTCTCGTTTCTTTTCTTTTTTAATTGAAAGTCATCTAGCCTGTATTTAAGTAAGGTATATGTTTGTTTTGTATAAATAAATAATTTATTTAGCCTTGAGAATGATAAGATTGTTAAATTCATTTGTAATTTATGCTAAAGGATCTTAATAATATTGACATTATGAAATCTTAGAGATTACATTTGTTTAAAATTTAACAAAAAGAATCAAAATAAAATGAAAGAATGTCAAATATGAAAGCCATTCGATATTTTTTTAACTGTTTATCTATACAAACAAAAACAAACTCTCTCATTTGATTAACAACCTTACCTTTTCGTTTTTGTTGTTTGATAGAAAAAATTTATTCAATGTTTTATAACAATAGCACAAACATTTTTGTTTTTTATCATAATGAAAGAAGTAGCGACACACAGCGTATTTTATAACATCTTGAAATGATAAATGTTTAGTACTTATTTTTTATCAGTGCTCTTATTTTTTTCAAAACGTAAATTTTACTCTTTTCTTACTATATCAAAAGATAACGAAATGACGTTATCGAAAAATTGAAATAGAATTTTATACTATATATTTTTATTTAAATATATCAAAATAAACCTTCAATGAAATACTATGTCAGAATAACAATTAGAATTAATAATAATAATAATAGAAATGAATAATTAAATGAAGTACTACTGTTATATTGTTGATTAAAATCATCATCAGTATCTATATTCATATTCCAAATAATTGGCGGTCGTTGATGATACACTGGTATACGAATTGTCATTGTCGTAGTGCCAGACGATGACGACGTCGATGATGGTGATGATGGTTGTGTCGATGTTTCATCGATCTCATCGTCATGATATGCATCTTGTTCTCCATAATCGTAATAAGAAACAGTATTTATATCATCAATTGATATATCATCATAAGCTGAAATGTTCGATGGATGAAGAGTTGTTGTTGTTGTTGTTGTTGATGAAGTTAGTCCATCTATTGAATCTTCATATGCATAATCTGAATAATGTAATTCATCATCATTCGGATAATCATCTAGATCATCTGTTGCATTTAGTTTTATTTCATTTATTAACATTGTATTTGGACTTGTTGGAATATTTATATCTATACAAAAGAAATTTATGAATTAGTTATTAGAGAAAAAGAATATTTTTAATTTAATACAAACTTGTACTTGTTTGTGGTATATTTAGAATCATATTTGATCTTTCTTTTATTTCCTTTAATATCCATTGTAAACGTAAATTTAATGGTTTATCATAATTAAGTCGAATTATTTGTCTATTAAAAATATATAGAGATTTTTAGAAAAAAAGACTTCTGCTTTACTTTCTATCTTGAGAAATAAATGTCCCGGTCCAACATTTTTGTTCATTTGAAATCGAAAGTCCATCCGATTTACATATTTGTTCTGGTAACATTAACCAAAATGATCGATACATTTGTAATGATTGTCTCATTGACGTCAGTTGTTTATCAAGTAAAGATAATGAATTCCTATATTTATCATGGAATTTTTGATCGTTATCAAATACTTCTTTACGTATATTTATATATCCACATTGATTGATAATCTTTAAGAAAAAGTATATATTCAAGATTAATAATAATATTACTCGATAAAGTAATACATACATGTTTACTTTGTATTCCATCAGGACTAAAAAAGGTCATCAATGCATCGAGGATCGACATACTAATAGATGATAAAATCTTTTCAATACCATTAAAATAACTAACATTTTCAATGGAATCTTGATATAATGAATAAATTATATAAGAAAAAAAATAACATAAATAAATCCTACCGATGAAATTTGTCCATACGTCATGTATTAAAGAAATATTTACAAGACAACTTTCAATGATATTTTCACAATTCGATAGACAAGGAAGTTCTTTTCGTCCAGAACATAGATTACAATATGATAATTGCATATATGAATCAATACAATGATGATCTGTTGTTACACTCTAGAAAAAAACATGAAATTGCTAATAAATTTTTTAAGGCAAAAACTCGTTCGATACCAAATGATTATGAATGAGACTATCTTAATAATATAACATGTATGCATAAGAAAAATACTGCGACTATATTCTAAATTGCTATGACGGATAATATTACAAATATCATCAGACAAATTTAGTATTTTGCATGATATAAGCATTACAAAAGATAACAATAATGAATAGGTATCAATGTCTGTTATATATTGTGAATAATATTATTGCTTATTTGATAATTACAATACTATTTTCTTACTAATTCGTTCAATTTTGTCTTTGACATATGAAGTTAGAATTTCAGTGGTGATAATTATTAAATCAACGAAATAAAAGTATCTATATAGATAATCTTTATTGCACGTCAATAAAATTCTTGTTTCTTTAAATTCATTGATAATGTCAAGTTAATTGACATTGTTCATCATGCTTTATGCTTGATTAAATTTTATCTATTTGCATAAGTCAATAGATCGAAGTTTTTACATTAACTCGTATAGATTTTATTTCGAAGTTAATCGATCGGGTAATGACTTCTGTCAATGTATCTCACACTTTGTCATTCATATGTCTATAAAATTGAATGGTGTGAAAATTAGAGGTTTATGAACAAACAAAAAAAAAAGAGATATAAAAGTACAATTGACAATCATTATTATTTCGTTTTCTTTAAGGAAGTAATAAGATATTCTTCTTCTAAGCAAATTCTTATTTCTTTATTCTTTCTCGAATAAATGAGCAAATCTTTGAAAACTGAATAATAATGTACGCTCATTTAGATGTCTATAACTCGATAATTAACATGTAATTATAGAGGATACACTTTTTTTTGTTCGGTTCTTTTGTATTTTAAACATATGACTACTATACCTATTAAATTTGATATACACATCTATCATTGTGTCAAGAAAACAAAGACATTCTCTTTTAGATCATTTGACGACAAAAAAAACGCGTAATATTTCTTATTAAAAAGATAGAAAAAAAAACTTCTTAATATATACCTTTGACATAAATTGAACCAGTTCAACACTTAATTTTAATAATTCATTTAAATGAAATAATTTTCCTAGATTAATTTCTAATTGATTTGCAATTATATTTGGTCGATTACCAAACGGATGATTTCGCCATGAACATAATAAATATGATGGTAGTAATAATTTATTTTGATCATTATTTAATTCTATTGATATTCGAAGAATATTACGAAAAAATTCTTCAATATTATTTTTAATAATATATTGATAATTTTTATATGTTATTGATAATAAATTATTAAAAAATAAATCAATGGATGAACGATAAGAATTATGTTTTAAAATAAAATGTGTTTCATTTCGTGATGATTCAATTAATTTTATTATCGTATCTATAGAAGACAATAACAATAATAGAAGAATAAAAAGATGTAAGAATATACTAACCATTTAATTCAATAGTTAAACGAACTAATGGTTCATATAAACGAATGGAATATAATTCAAATAAATAATAAAGTTCAAGAATTGTTGCATTTTGTATTTGATTTTCATAGATTTGTGGACAACAATAATTTGTTACTAAACCTTGACATAATTTTACACCAATAAAATTATTTTCTGGAATATTTATATGAATACCATATTTAGTTAATTTATTATTCAATAATGAACATTGATTAGTTTGTGTATAAACAATATTAGTTAATAAATATATAAAAAACAATGTCTGATGCATTGATATTTTTTTCCTCTTCTCTTTCTCTATTCAAATGATTGAGAAGAACAAATAGTATATACACACACACACATACTCTCTCTCTCTCTTTCCCTATAGAGAAACGATATTCATCGTTCATCAAGTATATTGGATACATAGATTCCACCAACAGTTGCCTTTTTGTGGCAAGAGAAAGAGAGAGAGAATTTTCTCTTCCGTTGTATTACAACATCAATTATCTTGAATCACTTGAGACAAATGTCGGTAGTAGTTCTTTGAACTTAAACTTCTTGACGACAGGTTAGAGGTTATTTTTCTATTTGTTTTTTTTTTTGATTCGTGTGTCTTTATTTATCAAGAGAAAAAACAGGAGTTGATGACATAAAAAAATCTAGTTGAATAGTTGATTGATTATCATTTGAACATTTAAAATGATTTATATGATCGATGAATGGAAATGTTGATAAAGTTTCATTATTAAGTAATACACGTTGAACATAAAGATTTGTTGGAGAATTATTATGCACATTGATTAATAAATTACATTTACCATTATTTCGTGAGATTTTTATACGATCAAATGCTGGACTACCAATTAAATATGTTGATGAACCAGAAAGTGGATAAAAACCCATACTTGTAAATATATACCATGCAGACATTGTACCATAATCATCATTACCTGGTAATCCATCAGGCGCATTTGGATAAGCATGATTTAATAACCAACGTGCATATTTTTGTGTTAAATCAGAACGATTAGCATAATTAAATTGCCAAACGGAAAAAAGATTATGTTCATTACCTGGCCAATAATATGGATTAGGTAATAATGTTGTTTTCCATGGTTGTCCACGTTCAAAAAATATCGTTAGTTCTTTAATAAAATTATCTCGACCACCAAATAATTCAATCAAACGTGAAGTATTCAAGATTATTCAGTTATGATATCATTTGAAAATAAATGAATGAGTCATTAATCATTGGATATGATTGTCTCAAAAAAAAAGATATATATATATATGTGTTGAGTTTAAACGTCATTTAAATCGATAAGTGTTATCTTTTATTTTTAGTAGGTGTTCCTTCTGTTATCTTGTTTTTATTATCTTTATACATATAGTCATCTGTTTCTTTGTTGGTAAATATTTTTCTCGCCTTTTTGATAAAAGTATGTAAAATCACACATATCATAAACCATATATAATTCTATCAAATTAACTATTTTAATGACTTGTTTGATAGTTTAACTGTGTATTTCAAGCTTCAAAAGATCAAATTTCGATTGACAGTTAATTGAGTGAGATAAATTGTTTTTTTGATCATCAAAGTTTGACATTTACGAACTATTTTGCGAGTATGATTCGTTTAAAATTTACATTCAATACTATCGTAGCATAGCAGTTTTTATATATAATCAAACAGTAGGAAAAAAATCATCTACTTGTTTTCATCGCCTAAGGGATCGAAATATGTTATATATGACACCAATTGAATACAACAAAGATTTTATTGAAAAATTTTCAAGTGATTAATGCTTGAGGTACGAACACAAGTACTTTAAGTATTTCCCTATGTTCTGATTATCAATGAACGAAAAAAAAAATATTCCCTATTCAGTAAGGCATCGTTTTCGCTATGTATATAAAATGATATTTTTCATGATTTAGAATTTGTAGGAACAGTATTGCCTTCTAAAAATCTACTAGATTACATAATCTTTAGTGTTCACATGATATTTTAACAAATCTTTATGGGGTACAAAAAATCGATAATGCCAAGCATCACCTTCTATATATCTTTTATCAAATGGATCAAGAAATTCAAGTTCATTTGATGGACAATGAAAATTGCCTGCTTTATCTTTTGGACAAAAGAAATTTGTTTTATTATCAAAAACATGTTCAAACCATGTTCCTCGTTCATAATATTCTTTAGCTTCATCAACCAAACCAGCAGCATTCATAACATTTGCAATAGCCCAATCATCATACGCATAACTTATTGTTAATGGTGCTGAAGTTTTTTCCATATCATATGGAACATATTTATATTGAATATATGTTGCCGGATCCCATCGACTATCATGTGCTTGATTTTGATTAGCAACTTTTCTTAAAGCTTGAACAACTTCTTTTAAATCTAAATTATTATCATTTTCTTTTTTCATAATTAAATCACTGATAAGAACGTCAGCATGTGAACCAAACATACAACCTGTATAACCATTAGCTAAAGGCCATTTTGGTAAATCACCACCTTGCTCAACATTAATCATAATTGAATGTATAATATCATTACCTCGTTGGGCATCATGAAAATTAATAAATGGTATTTGTGTACGATGTATATCCCATATGGATAAATCAGTATAAACATGTTGCATATAATCAGGTTTTGTATGAACTTTACCATCATATCCAAGGTAAACACCATTTGATTCATCCCATATTGTTGGACTTGATAATGAATGAACAATAGCAGTATTAAACTTTATTTCAGCATCACGATCCCAATCAGCACTAACCTATATACACATAGAAAGAAAATAAGTTTAAACTCTATTTAATTACTTCAAATCTTGCTAATTCATCAAGCCATTTTTGTTGTACAATTGTTCGCATAGAATCGAACGATTGAAGCGTATTTGTTTGTATTTTTAAATTAGTACGTGCTTGTTCTATAGAAACAAAACTTATGCCAACATACATTGTTACTTGTTCTTGTTCATCAGGTAATATAATATATGCACCTGATGAACATCCATCTATTTCAGTTTGCCCTTCGGTTATTTGTCCATGATTCCATGTACCAAATTGAGTCAAATTACTTAATGTAATAACGAAATATGTTGTTACGCCGCCAAAACGTCCTGAAAGTGAACCATCGAAATGAATTAAACCAGTTAGTTCATGATTTATTGAATCGATTTTAATATGACTTTCAGTACATACATTGGCTTGTAATGTATAGCTATTATCAATAAGTATGACATGATGTTTATTTTTTATTTTATCATATGTATAGCGATGTATACCAACTTGTTCCGTAGCTGTTAATTCAACATTTATTTTATGTGTATCAAGATAAACTTGATAATAACCTGGTTCAACAACTTCACGTTCATGTTGAAATGCACTACGATAGCCATTTCGTTTAGAAATCATTGCTTGTAAATGTTTAATACTATCTATTTGAACAGGAATAATACCAACTTCACCATAATCAACTACACCAGCACCAAACATATGTGTATGTGAAAAGATATTTATATGTGAATCAGAATAGTGATAACCAGCTAAATGATTGAATATAATTGGTATATCCATGGTATTACTAGTATCTGGACCCAAACGAAGAGCACCATATGGACTTTGAACACCTAATGGTAATGAACCTGCACCAAACCCATCACCATCTGTACCAATATATAAATTAAGTGGAGGAAATTTCGTATTATTATATTGATACGAAAGATTAATTGCTAATATGAATAGCAAGAAAACCAAAATACATCTTGCAGCCATGTAATTTTTTATGATATGACTTTTTTTTGAAAATTTACATAAAACATTTTATGAGAGAATATATCAGCTGGAAATGGATAAAGTGCGTTCGATTCTTATTTTCTACTCTATTTATGATTATAACAGCATTCTTATTATCACATACATTCTATGATTTATTATTTTAATTTTAACCTACTTATTAAAAATGTCTCATATACAATGGAGTGCAAATGATTACTCGCTTTAAAAAGTCCCGATTGTAATTCATTTTCAATCAAAATAAAATTTATTTCAATGATAATACACAAATCTAATTAGATATTTTTTATTTATACACATATGTATATAAGAAAAGGAAAATATTATAATCTACATTGATATCTAAATATATATATTTAATAAATCTTGAAGTACATCATTTAACTTGTTGGTGCTGGTGTCGGTGGTGGTGGCGGTTGAAATTGATTAAGATGTGTATCAAGTTTCATTCGAAACATACTTGCATAATCTGTATCTTTCGATTTAATACGTTTAGCTTCTTCAAATAATAATAATTCTAAACGATCAGCCCATGCATTTAAATCGGGTAAATGTTGACAATCCGGTATATTAAGAAATTCATAAAAAAATTCTTTCCATATATCATGTATACGTTTTGAAAATTTCGCTTTTGTTGTCATTGAACCATCTTGTCGTTGTTCATCTTCACATACTGTCATATAACTAAGAAAAACAAGTACATGAATCGAATAAACCATACCAAATAAATCATGCTAAATATTTAAATAATAAAAAAACAATATTTTTTTATGAAATTTCATAAATAAAATTACTTGAAAAATCCATGGACGATTATTTAACATTTCAACACAAGCTAATTCTTTTTTCGGTACACATGTTACAAATGCTGTACCATTATCAAATAGTTTTAAGTCAATTGAACGATTGAAATCAATTAACATTAATGATGGAATCGGTGCACAACTAGCTTTTTTAGTTGAAAATGTTGTTGGACTAGAAAATAAGATTATTATAGAAGAAAAGAACAAGATGGTAATCTATATTTACCAGTGAAGTACCATGAAATTATCTGGTTTTACCTGTAGAAATAAATAAAATTATTAAATAATAAACAGATTTTTTTAAATGAAAGATTTACATCACAATGAATAATACGTAATCGGTGCATGTAATCGAAAATACGTAACATTTCAATCGAATAATAAAGTTGATAGCACAATGGAACATACCGATCACGACTAATATGATAATTAGCAAAATCCTATAGAAATAAAAAGAAAGTTATTATTATGATAACATTACATTCGTTTTTAACTATTATCTAGTAACGTAGTCAAAGAACAAGCCATCTTCTCATAGAATGTACAAGTCACGAAGTCTTATCTATATCCAAATTCCTATTTATCTTAGAGATTATTGTAACATACAAGTAAAGTTTGAGGAGCACGTTGCATAAGCATAACACTATAATCATTATATTCGATTAAACGATAAACAGTCGGAATTCGTTGATTCTTAAAGAAGAAAAATCAATAAAACATAAATATATAAAAAATGAAACTACATACAAGATCAAATTGACCAGCTTTACGAATTGTACGTCGAGATAATTCAGTAAGAATATAAAATTCCCATACAGTCGGTGGGTGTTGAATCTGAATTAAGAAATTAAACATAACATTCAAATCAACAAAAAGAATATACTGATTACCTTGCAAGCATAGGTTACTTTTGGGTCTGATTCTAATCGAGCTGTAATAACATAACCATAAGCACCTTCGCCTAATTTTTTTCCAAATTCATAATTTATTCCACCTAGAAGAAAATTTCATATATCAAATTAAAATCTTATTAATCAATAATCATACCTAATTTAACTTTTTCAATTTTTGTTCCAATTTTATTTTTAGATAAAACTGTTGGTAAGTTTGTTTTTTCAACAGAATAATTTTCCATTATTGCATAATTAATTCCACGTTTATCAAGTATTTGTCTTCGTATATGGTCATCAAATGGATCACGTTCATCAACAACAATACAAGACACATCAAGGAAATTTTCATCCAATGTATCATTTATTGGTACTTGTGATTGACGACGAAGTACTTGATCAATTGTAAATATATTCATTAATGGTGGTACAACTGAGCCACGTCGAATATTACTTGGAATACAACTAACGCGTTCACCACCCATTAAACTTGTATTTGACATATCAAGCATACTGATAGAAGAAAAAATAATTTTTGTGTTTTAAAAAAACACGAGAAGTTTTACCGAGAATATTCAAGACGAACAGCTTCACGACATTCAGGTAATAATTGACAATCGGGGTCATCATCGCTTTCAAGACTAGCTTGTGCACGTATAGGTGATCGTTTTGTTTTAGGTTCACTTGCCATCATTATTTCGAATGAACTACGTGTCTGAGTTTTTCGTTTTGTTACAGTTGCTCGATTTTTTGGTTTTACTTTCGACTGTTCCTTTTCATATTCTATTTAAAACATTATCTTAATAGGTTACTTTTTTTAAATTATTAATTATACATACCATTTTTATCCCATTCTTGAAATCGATCAGCAAAAGCACTGAAAAGAATCATTACTTTATAAAAAACGTATTTTTTCAACAAACATACCGATAAGCTTTATCAATTTCAGCACATTCATCATGATCAATAACAAATTTCTTTGCTTCTTCATAGATTCCCCATGCACCAGCCCAATTTAATTCATTTTCTTCAGTATATTCAGCCCAATCAATCCATAAATGTGCATATTTAACACCGACTTGTTTTTTATAAAATAATCCATACCATAGTCCTTTATCTACAGACATTTCAGGCTAAAAAATAAAATTCTATATCAAATAGAATATCAACACGAAAACTTACAATTAAAAGACAAATTTCAGCAAAATCTTTATTCTTAATTTGTTCAGAATTATTTTCAAATTTTTCAAGACATTTTAAGCATATTGGATAAAGAATTTGATTATTAGCTAATGTATTTTCACCATTATTATCTTCAGGTAATACATCTTGTATAGCAGCTAGATATCTTTGAAAGAAAGAAATAATTGAATAAAATCTTATTCAATATTAATAAATGTATACATACGGTAACCAAAGATCAGAAACTTCATTTGTACCATTGTACAATTTTAAACGTTTATCAAATTCATGTTGAAGTTCAGCAAGAGTTGGTTTTGTCATGCTTAAAATAAAGACAGTGACTGTTTGATAGAATAGATTATTAAACACAAGAGAGAAATTTTAATGAACCAATTCTATTACCGCTCTTTGTTCATAAATGACAAGTCAATGAGAATATATCTGTTAATATTTTTTCAAATAAATAAAAATATATAATAAATAGTTGAAGTTTTTGATTTTTCATGAAATACTAAATTATAGTTTAAGATTATTTCAAATTAATAGATGGAGCTACTGTGTGACATAATATAATAACAGATATATGCTAAAGTAAATTACTGTTTTGGAATATTCATGTAGATTTATCTTTTTTTATTTCTTAAAACATTAACAATCAAATATACATTTCCTATTTAACATATTTTAATACAACGCTTTGAAACGTTTATATGCAGCACGTTCTAGCGATTCACGATGATTTGGATGAGCTAATTCAATCAATGCTTTTGCTCTTTGTTGACAATTTTTTCCAAATAAATTTGCTACACCATATTCAGTTACAACATAATGAACATGAGCTCGTGTTGTCGTCACCGCAGCACCTGGTTTTAACTGTACAAAAACAATTATTTCTTTTTTATTCTTATTAAATATATATACTAAATTAAACATACCATGTTAACAATACGTGAAATACCTTTTGGTGTTTGTGAAGGTAATGCAATAATAGGTTTTCCATGTTTACTTAAACCAGCACCACGCATAAAATCCATTTGTCCACCAACACCTGAATATTGCATTGTTCCTAATGAATCAGCACAAATTTGTCCAGTTAAATCAATTTCTAATGCAGAATTAATTGCACACATTCGTGGATTTCGACGAATTTGAGCAGGATCATTTGTAACCGAAACATCCAATGAGAGAACATTTGGATTATCATTAACAAAATCATATAATTTCTTTGTTCCCAATATGAATGTACATGTGGTTTTACCTGGATGAAAATGTTTATATCGATTTGTAATAACACCATTTTCTAATAATGGTATAACACCATCGGATAATACTTCTGTTGCTATACTCAAATCTTTATGATTATCAAGACACGTTAAAATAGAATTGGGAATTGGTCCAATACCTAACTGAACTAGAAATATAAAAATATTCTCGATATTTGAAGTTTAACAATCGAATTTTTTAATAGTCAATGAAACTTACGTGTACTTCGATCATCAATTAATTCTGCTACTTTTTTTCCAATTTTTCTTTCTATTTGAGTAATTTGTTTTGAATAATTCAATTCAATCAATGGTTCATCATATTCAACATAAGCATCAATTTCATTCATATGTAAAAATGTATCACCATGTACTCGTGGCATATGACGATTGATTTGTGCAAAGACTTTTTTAGCATTTCTTATAGCTGCTTGTGTTACTTCAACTGAAATACCAAGTGAACAATAACCATGTTGATCTGGTGGTGAAACTTGAATTAAAGCAGCATCAAGTGGAAGAATATTTTCATCGAAAAGACGAGGCATTTCATTTAAGAATGTTGGAATATATGATGCAGCACCATTCGTTATTGATGATCGAACAAAAGATGATGCAAAAAGACTATTATTAAAAAAACTATCTTTTAATTCAGGATTAGTAAAGGTATCATCCAGCGGATTAACACTTATAATTTCAACACGTCGAAGATCACCAGCACGATTTGCTAGAAGACGATTAAGATATCGTGGACTACCACCACATCCTTAATGATAAAATAAAATAAAATAATTATATCTTATCTATTCTATAGCAAAAGAATTGATTGATAGGTTCTCATGAGATTAGTTGAATTCATTTCTATAAATCTTGATATCCTATATTTAGTTCAAACGACGGAAGTATACATATTTTCTAGTAACATTTAACAATTCATATTTTCTTTATCATAGTTTAGACATAGAGTTTACTTTTATTTTTACATATTCTATAGACTTACCATGTACAAAAACACGTGCACCGGATTTGATAAGAGATAAAGCTTGATCAATAACCATTCTTATCAATATTCTATATTTTCTGTTATGGAAAGAAAAACTAAAATATTCGACTAGGTGTCTCTTTTTCTGCAATTCTAAATGAAAACCATCACAAATAGTTGGACTTCGTAAATAAATAATAATATATCCTAACCTTGACTAAAAAGTGGCGTACATCTACTTCGATGGAACGTAAAACGTATTAAATAAAAAAAAGTTTTTCTTTTCTTCTTTCGTTTTTTTTATTCCTTCCATCCATTCATTCATTCTGTTTATCTCTTGTTATTCAATGTTCCCCTCTTATTTTTTACCTAGGCATCACATTACACATAGTTCGTCTTCCTATTTACTTTTGTCGTTCGGATTTTTTTCTTTCTTATATATTCGAGGCCATATGATAAGAATTCTAATATACAAGGAAAAAAAACAGTAAATGACCTTTAATTTTCGTTTTAAAATGTCAATTATTTGTTGTAATATCAAGAATTTCATTCATCACAGTATAGATTATATTTTTCAACGTTAACCACAAAGAAAAAGAAACAGAATTAATAAACATATATGCACACTCAAAAAAAAAGAAGAAGAAACGAAAAAGAAAACATGTTATTTTTGCTATTCTCCACTTTCTTGTCCATGATAAGGTGATGAAGATGATGGAGATATACCATGTTGTATTGATGTAGTATTATTACCAACAGCAGCAACTGCTGCTGCTGCAGCTGCAGCCGCAAAAAATGAACTTGGATGCATCGATGGACATGATGGATAAGATGTTGGCGGTGGACAATAAGCTGATGTAGCAGCCATTTCATCATAAAGATCTTCAAAAGAAAGATATAGACAAATTAAAAATATCATACATCTATATACATACTTGGTTGAAATCCATATGGTGTTCGAGTTGGATCAAATGTATGATAAGGATTTGTAGTCATTAAATCATTATAATCCGATCCCATTACTAAAAAATAAAATAGAATTCAACATACAGCATGTATTTTAATGTACATACAAAAGAAGAAGAACATAAACATATGTCATACATAGGCTTCATTAACAGTATATACTAGTATCTCTTTGATAGAAAATAATTCAACTGATATTTCGATACTCATGCTTTCTCTAATTTTTTTTTGTTGTCAAATCACACAGGAAAATTCATGCATATCATACTAAATTTTCATGTATTCAAAAAACGAACCTTTATGTGTAATCGCTATAGGAAAAAATTCAATTAGAAAAACAGATTAGCAAAATGATTTTTATTTAATCTTACCAGCTCGATTCGATTGATCAATCATTGGTTGTACAATTCTTCTACGAGCATTAATAAACCTTTGAAAAAAAAGAAGAAGGAAAATGATATTTTACTGGAAATAGCTAAAACAGCTGCATTTATTCTTTTATCGTAATCCGTCAAACAGACGTTTCTACCTGTCAACACTATGTTTACAACAGAGAAGAACAAAAAAAATGATTAATGACTTTAAGCATCATCTCTCTGTGAAAGAAGAACAATCCTAATGATCGTTGTGTATATATATATACATATATATATATAGATCAAGCACAGCTGCATGATTGAAAAAAAATTTCCGCAGCGTTAACTATTTTTAACACGGTTCGTCACGAACAATTGATGAGATGGAACGTAACTGTGTGAATTGATTAACCCAAACGATTACGACACTTCCATCTCATACTAAGAAGGATTATTGAAGCAAAACTTAAATAATAGAACGTACCAATTATTAACTTGTAAAATATTTAGATTTGTTTCTCGAGCTAAAATTTTCTTTTGTTCTTCAGATGGATATGGATGCTTAAAGAAAAAAGAAGGATATGATTATTAGATTTAAATTAGTGCAATAAATCTTACATTTAAATGTTGAAATAACCATGCACGCATCAATGATGTTGCTGCTTTGGGAAAAATACCACGTTTCTTTTGACGACGTTTATTATTATCATCATTTTCTTCATAATAATCACCTTCGATTGAACTTTCAAAATTCTCACTACTTTTATCTGTTTCATCAATTGATTGATGAGAATATTGAATTGTTGATGATGGCATATAATTATTAGGTTGTTGAATAGATAAGAATTGTTGTTGTTGTTGTTGTTGTTGATGATGATTATGATGAGGATGATGATGTTGTATTGGACTTCGCGATTCTGATGAATCAGAATTTGATTTTAATGTTTGATTATGATCATTTGTTGATGTTTGAGACAATGAACGCACCTGATTAGGGTATATAGATTAGATTTATCTTTGATTATCATCTTTCTTTTTTTTTAAAAAAATCATCGAACCGCAACTATATATGATTTAATCGAATCGTAGTTTATCACATACACTCATCGATAATGACTATGTTTCGAATGAAGGTCGTTATACACTCTTTTTGTGATTATCGGAATTAATATAAAAAAGTTTAAAATCTTAACTACTTAAGTTTATTTGTAATAATATTCTTACCGATTTAATATCTTGTTCATAATCATGATTACTCATTTCACTTTGTTCATCATCAGATTTCGAAAAACTTAAATCTCGATCATCCATAATGATATCCCTTTAGGAGAAAAAAGGAAAGATATATTATCTATCTATTTATTTTTTGGTCTAATAAACTTACATAGGCATTTTTCCTTTTAATAAATGAATATAACGTTGACAAAAATTATCGCATAATTCATGGACTTTTTCTAATTCAAGTAAATGAAATCTTAAAATTTGTATTGCTTGTATCATCTAAAAAGAAATGTTTCTCAGTCTTGTTTACATTCTACTATTTAAATAAACAATACATACAAGACTATCAATTTCAGGATTTGATGTTTGACATGGTAAATGTTCTTTTGTTAACTATGAGAGAAAATAAATTCTAAAAAAAACGGAATTATTTTTAAATTTTACTTGTTTTGTAAATTCAACAACATCTTCACTAAATGATGTAAGTGAACATGCATAATTTGGATTATTTGCATCACGTGATGAATTTGTTGCTAATTCACATTTATCAAATATGATAGCAAGTAAAGGAAAAAGTGGATGACTAAAGATAGAGAGAGAAATAAAATAAAATAAAATTGAAAAATTTTAAGTTCAATTTTTCTTTATACTTATAAATAATATCTTTATCAAGTTTATTTGAATCTGTATTATTTGTTGTCGTTGTTGTCGGTTGTAATAATGTTGTCTGCGAAGGATTATATTGTTGATAATAAAAATTTGTTGTATTTGTCGTCATGATATTATCAAAAGAGGACATATGACAATTATATCTATAAGCAAAAAAAAAGGGGAAAATTTTAATCGATCTTGACATATGCACACGTGAAATTTGAGTTCTCTCTAAATATAGGGTTATTTCAACGAAGATATATGTGTGGATGTACACGCCTGGCGCATATCATCTACCAACGTCAATTATACTCATCAATCATAATGCGAGCTCGTCATACATTCATACAATGGGTAAAAGAAGAATTAGCGTCTCGAATAGAGAGCGCGTCTTTTGCCTCTTCTCATTTAGGTTATCTTTTGTTTATCGGTTTTTTTCTTCTCTTTCTCAAAAAATAGAATACAGAAAGAGAGAGAGAGGAAGAGATGCATTGATATTGGTTATTCTATATGTTGATACTTGTCGATGATTGGAAGATATCTTTTATTATATGTCGATGAAGTAGCTAATTTCTTTTTTTCTTCTTCTTTTCTTCTCCTGCTGTGTATCATCTTCTCGCATTGTTGAGACAATCTTTTCCGGTTATGAGAAAAACAAAATGTTCTTAACATATGTATGGAAATAAACAAAAAAGAAGAAGATGAGAATTTATACTCTGATAATATCATTTTTATTATTTTGAATAATTTTTATTTTTAACAAAAATTAAAGGAAATCTATTACGTATATTCAAACTAATTTCGTATTCTATTGAATTTTATGTTAGATCATTTAGTTAATGAGTTTGATAGTTTGAAGAAGGTATTGTTGTATTTTCTAATGCTCATTTTATACTCGCACTTGAATTTATATAGAGAATTAATCGATCTTAGTTATATCTTTAATTGTCAATGTATATCATATAATAATAAATGAGAGACAATTGTACCCTCTTAAATATTATTATCGTATGTTTAGAGGTCGATTCTGTCTATTTTATATTGATTCTTGATAATTAGAGATAGCCCTGTTTCGGACAGTTCCTAATAACTGTTGACAAAAGTTTTCTTCTATATTAATATTCTACTTCCTTGTACTTGTATTATATTAATAAGAAGTATTGACGAGAACAATTCAAAGTTCATTCTTACCATTACGTTTATCTATGACTTAAAATTTCAAAATCTGTTCATATTTTTAATAGAAATTATTTATCAGTAGATTACAATAAACTCTTTATTGATCAATACCTTGCTGTTTCGAAGCGAAAGCATTTTTTTCAATGTTTTCCTTGCGGTTATATCTTTTCTACTATGAATTAATATACATAGATTTTTTCTTATTTCTGTCTATTCTCATGAAATATAATTGAGTATATACTATATGTGTGATAATTGAGATGCAATTATTTAAAAATTAGTATATGTGTAGATATTTTGAAAGGTACTCTTTTTGTCATTCTATCGTATGCTATACATTAACTTTGTAAAGTGTATATATTATTTCGATGATGTTCATTCTGAAAAGAGATTGGACGATATGATTTAAACATTAATAAATTCAATGGACACATAATTTTATTTAGCAATGAATAAAAACACTAATTTTGTAATGTCAATAATAGTCAAATGCTGAGTTTTTTTGAACGATTGAGAGATAATACTAATTGATGCACAATATATCAACCTGACCAAATATTATAAACAGAATTGAACATTGAATTTTTCTATTCGACAACATGCGACATCTTATTAGTGCATAAATCATGTTCCGATAGATTTAAAAAGAAAAGGATATTTCAAATCTAAACAGTTTATAAAATAAATCTATTTGAAATAAGTATGATTGTTACTTCATTTATTTGAACTATGAATGGTAACGTTGACAACAGAGTTGTCAATGATGTACAGAACAATTTTGTATACATTTGATCTATAGTTATATATTTCGATGGAGGTAAACAAAAAGATAAATGTCAAATTCCCAGTCTTTTAATTATTTATATGATTTAGACTACAGGAAAATTTATTCCTCCACAATCTCCTTGGCGTTGGGATGAACAATCCAATGAATTAATTCAGGATATAGATTCAACTGCTGAAAAAGCTGATATTAATGCTGAAACTGTTTCGGAAAGAATTGATCTATGGAATTTACCATCAGAAAAACGTCCTTTAGCTTATAAAAAACATCCATTAGAAGTAGCAAAAGATAAAAAAGTTGTAGGAGTTGAAGATATTGTTCGTAAGTTATACATAACTATATATATGAATTCATCTAATTTTATTTCTAATCAAAAAAGATGTTGCATTAAATATGGTTAGTGATACTTATTTTGTTCCAGACAGATTTGCTGATTTAGTTAAGTATGTTTATTATTTTACTTTGTATTTTTTATGTATATAATTAATTATATTCAATTTTTATGTTAATAGACGAGCAGAATTGGAAGATTTTTTTCTTTATTTAATCAATTATTTTTATTGGTATTTTGAATATCTCGATTCTCAAGTTATGACAAATCCATTTTGTGTGTATGTATAATTTATAATTTTTTTCTAATAAATATTAAATTTTTTTAAAAATATAGAGAATTAAATCATGAAGAAAGAGATCGTATATCTAATGCTGAAGGTCAATTAAATACGGCTCTATTATTTGTTGCACAAAAATACAGTAACATTGTTCTTGGTACTGGCCTTAAACAATATCATCATTTCTATTGGATCGAAGGCGTTGATGAAGATGATCCATTATCAAAAAAACGAGAAATTATTCCATATACCGGTCGTGTATCACGAACATTAATTGATCGTGGTTATTCAGAAGTAAAACGTTTAACAAAAAAAAATATATTTGACTATTCATTTTCAATCTATTTAGTTATTAATGATTTTTGCTACATTTGTTGTATGGATAACATTTGAAAGAAAAAATTTTGAAATCATTCGAGCAGAAATTGGAAGGTATGTTTATAAAAGAAAAATAAACTTCTTCTTCTACGAAATAGTTTTTTAGAATTATTCGAACAAATTCTTTTCCAAATCCAACTTATTCTAGTAAGAAGTATTTATCAGTTTTTATGTATTATTTTATTATATATTTTTATCTATATAGCAACACAAGTTTGGACTCGAACAACACGGAAAGCAACGAATGATACAACTACGAATGGAAATAATGAAAATTCATCAAATAATATAAATGAAAGAAAAGGTACTGCAACAAGTAGTAAAAATATTCGATTACAAAAAACAATAGCAACAGCAAATGTTGAAGCGGATAGTAGTTCTAGTAAATTAATTTGAATTTTGTTCTTTTTTGAAAAATATATAAATTATTTTGAATAGATACAAATGGAGGAAAAGGACCAAAACGACAACCATTTCGACGATTATTAACGTTAGTTAAATTATCGAATTAGTTTTTTAATTTGAAAAAAATAAGATGTTTTATTTCAGACAACGATCACCTGTTCTAGTAACTTTATTACCAACAGGACGTGATCAAAGTGCTTGGTTATTTTCCAGACGTAATAATAAAGATAATCAGTATGTTTTATTACATATTTTTATCGAATAAAATACTAATATTTATGAATAGATCTTCAAAGAATACAAAAGTAGTACCTGAAAGTGAATTTAAAGTTCAATATGAGTAAGTTCATTATTAAATAATTTCTTAATTTATATAAAATGATTTTATTATTCATAGAATTGGTGTACTTGGCCAACCGATTGAAACATTAACGTTAATTGTAAGTGGAGATACACCAGATGCAAACGCATCTACATCTCAAATGCCACCACATGTTGATACAAAGTAATAAATAAAGACAAAATTTAATTCTAACCTTATTTATTCGGTTTATAGTCGAGGAAGTGTCGAGATTGATGGTGGTATGTAAATTTAATTGCTATTTTATTTTTCTTCTAAATTGAATTTTTATTTTAGATTTCGAGAAGTAATATTATGAACGATCATAAAATAACGAAAAAAATATATTTTTATCATTTATATGTGAAATATAACTCTTCTTTTTTTTTTGGCAATAAAATTTTAAATATATATTTATTTTCTTTTTTAACAGACGGGAAAAAAAACTTCATAAAAAATATTCATATTTAATGATGTTTTTGTTCGTATAGAAACTAAACCCTCACTACTATATATATTATTAAGAATGAAAGAAACCGACCACAGCATTGTTTATGTATGATTCATTTTTTCAGTGAAAGTATACCATATGGAATATATAACTATTAGATTTACGTATTTTGTATGTAAGAAAGAAATAATACGTGACAAAAGTCGATGACTTATATCCTCCTGATGATTATATTGCCGTAGTTTTAATTGCAAAACTCAATAATTGATATGTATGGTCTATGTCAATGACAGATGATTATTGAATCTATGTCTTAAACTATATGAATAGAATTGAGTTAATACAAAATAATTAGTTTTTATAAATGTAATTATAGTTTTTAATTAATATTGTAATCGAAGGAGTATCGTATTATGATTGTAATTAGCTTTATTATTCCAATATGATATTGTATAGCTGAGATGTAGATAAATTTTTCATTTTTATTATTCTAGTTTTTGTTAGCAGAAAAAAAATACTGTTTTCGTCGTTGAATATTTGATAAGATATTTTATTCTTCTACATTATTCGCGTTAGAAGAATAAATAAATATATTCTAGAATATTCAAGTATATATTTACTTTCGATTCGTCATATATGCAACCAAAATAATACACTACATTGTACTCCAAAAAGCTTTTCTATGTTATATACTCAACAACCTAGTGATTACAGTATTTACTTTGCATATGCATGTCTTTTTTTATTGATAAAGAAAAGAAAAATGATACCATATATGCTAAAGAAACAACTACATGACAAGATGTTTGTCAATACTCTTAGACATCGTATACAGTTAATTATTGTATACTAAAAAAAGAATATATAGCAATAATTAAATTCGTTTTTATTCTTTTATGAATCAGATTTAAAAAAACCACGTAAATTACACATGTGATCTCGTTTTTGGACTGATTTAACTTCGAAAGGAATTCTTTTTTTTGTTTCTTTATTTATATATTCTTCTTCCTTTTTACTCATATATGTATATATATAGTAATTTTAAATGACAAAGAAACCGATTGTGTAATCTAGTCAATAGGTTATTGACTTAAACAAGAAAAAATTCTGAAATCATACTATACTTGTTGTACCTCGAAATACTTTGTCTTTTCTTTGACTAAAGGATAGAAGCACAAAGAGAAATGTTTTCCTTTTCTCTCGTCGAATATTAACACGTCGATGTTGCAGCAGTGATTCTTCGAGAACGATGCTGCGAAATACAATACGAGAGAAAGTGAGAGAGGGAGAAAAAGAGAGAAAAAAAAGAAAAATAGAAAACGAGAGAATAAAAGAAATGGCCATATAAATGTAGGATGATTTTACACCTTCTTTTACTATTTGCATCGTCGTTATACAGAGGTTTGTTAGAAAGAAATATGTATACACGTCTATATTCATCATTTATTTTAGTTTCGAATCTTTTCACTAAAAATTTAAAATGGGTAACAAACATTCAGGCAAAACTGATCCGTAAGTTGAATATTTTTATCTTCTATAATTTTATTTTATTTAAATTTAATTAGAACGATTCTTACACCAAAAGCTATTCAAATGCTTAAAGCTAATACAAACTTCACTGAAGAACAAATCCGTGAATGGCACGCTGGTTTCTTACGTGACTGTCCAAACGGAAAACTTTCAAAAGATCGATTTGTTACAGTCTATGAACAATTTTATCCAGGTGGCAAAGCTAAAGATTTCTGCAAATATGCTTTCGCTACATTCGATCGTGATAACAATGGAACAAGTAAAATTAATTTCTTTCTTTCTTTTTTTATTTATCTATATTTTTATTTTGTTTTTTAGTTGATTTCACTGAATTTATGCTCGCTATTGCATTGACACAATCAGGTGATCTTGATGAACGTCTTGCTTTAGCTTTCGATATGTACGATTACAACAACAGTGGAACAAGTAAATTAAAATTCTTAGATCTATAAACTTATTCATTTATTTTTTTTTCTTCTTATAGTCGATACAAATGAAATGGCTAAAGTTATTTCTGTAAGTTTTAAGTATAAGAATTTAATTCAATGACTGGAATATTTTTTGTTAATTAGGCTATGTACGATCTTATTGGTGAAACTGATCGCAAAGGTAAATATTTTTAAAGAATTATAGAATAAAGAAAATAAATTTATCTTTGTAGGTGATCGTGATCCAAAACACCGTGCAGAAGAAATCATTCGCATCTGTGATGTTACTGGTAACAAAAAATTAACAAAAGAAGAAGTAAATTAATTGAATTATTATTATTGTTATTATTATTAACTATTTTTATTTTTCTTAGTTCGTTGCCGGATGCAAAAATGATCCAGTAAGTTATTTTAATAAATAAAAAATATCGAAAAAATATATCTTCTCTTTTATTTTCTAGGTCATTCGTCGTTTACTTGTTCCAAATGCTTAAATAAGCATGATCAAGACGATTAAACATTTAAAAAACTTTTTTCACTTCAATTTTAACATGCGCATGATTCCAAAGTGTTGTGATCATTCTATTTCTTTTTTTACAAAAACCTTTACTGTTTTATTATCTTAATTGTAGCTGATATGATCAAGCGCATGCATTTTTTTTTATTGTCTATATTTATTCTATCTGATAGATGTAAAAGAAAATGAAGTATCATCTGTAATTTTTAGATTTTATTTGTTAAATATAAGTGAACACAACACAATTTTATTTTTGTTTTATATAGCATTTAAAAAATTCACCGAAGGATATTTGTATAAACATCACTGAATTATACTTGTCGTTGAAGCATGAAACGAATATGCCTTAGAGACATAAAAAGACCACTTAATCTTTTCTTCTTTTGAACCTATTCACATGCATTAAGTATCACTTAAAATTTACTATAAATAAAGAAAATAATTAGAATCGTTTGACTGAATACTCTTTTATAATACGATGTTTGCGAGAAGAATAGTCTACATGAAAATGGATCGTTATATTGAATTCAGACTAATCTATATATGTAAAAGTCTTCCACAATTGAAGGAAAAGGTCCTGTGCATTCGTCTATTCTTCAGGGAAATATAATACAGCCAATTAAGATTAATGAAGACGAGCTTATTTTTATCACATATGAAAACTGTAAAGTTATCTTATACTTTGTTGACATGTATTTTAAGATTACGTGCTTTTACTCATTCTAACTACATATTTTTCTATCTATAATACTCTTCAGTATGTGTTAAATAAATTTCAAATATTTCTTTTGACGTTGGTTTTATGTTGTATTTAAGTATATCTATCAGCTACCTACTCTTTATTGTATGCGCTAAATATTTTTTTATAAACATTTATATAAAAAGTTTTTATATCATAACGGATAGAATTTTTCCGGAGTAATTTTAAAAACACATACGTATTTGCGTGATTTCTTGATGCATTAATAAAAATATTTATTAAGTAAATCTGTCAACCGACTGATGACGCCCATTTAATGATGATGAATGGGTGTTAGAAAAAAGAAATAAAACACATTAAATAATAGTATTTCGGAATTAATAAATAATTCGATTCTATAGCAAAAAGGTCAGATAGCTAATAGCTCATAATATTCTTTATGCCGGATATTATTGACAAGAGAATTCTAACGATGCCATCATATTCTTCGATTATATATTTATGATGTTATCGATTGCTTCTTCCTCATCAGACATCCAATGAAATAAATATTATAGTATTTTTCTCTTCTTTCCGGTGATCATATTTAAAAGATTAATAAATCTCAAATATGATGAGTTGATTATCAATAATCAACAGTCACCTATGACATGACAATCAAAGATATATTTTGATGACATAATTGTTTTTGAAATATACTGATGAAAGATAGCATCCAGTATTATTCATTAGTTCTATCTAGAGTAATATGACACATGCAAATTAGACTATATGATAGACATCCGTGTCCTGTGGCATTCTTCTTTCATAAATAACATATTTTGTTTATCAGAAATATAGCAAAAACCGAATATTCTCGATTTCTTGGTTAATGATAATATATTTTCTCAGCTATGAGGTTGTTCAATAATCAACAGTCAGAATGTTTATTAAATTTCGAATGAATTTTTTTAGACAAAACATAATTTGATTTATAATATCAATCGTAGATTGTTTGCTAATATTTTATGAAATAATATTTAATCTAATATTAAAAATATTTGCAACTGTCACTCAAATAAAATCTACATAATCAATCTGTAATAAAACTAACAGAACTAATATATTTTCACTACAGTAACAACATCATTTAGGCCTACTTATTTACTGATTATATGTAAAATCTGTCGACATAATTTTCTTTAGTTTACCATATGTTGTTTTAATGCTATTATTAAAACAGTTACTTTCTATTTAATCTAGTTCACTCATAAAATAGTAAATACAACTGCGTTATTATCTCTTCTATAATACATAGACATGAGCAATACTTATCCAATCACTTTTACTAAATTTATACTTTATTTTCTATCCATGATGTACGTCATTGTATAGTATTGTTTCTTCTAACAGATACCAAATATGCGATTAGTATAAGGTGAAGAATTGGTCACAGTGAATGACTACAAATAAATAAAAACTATTTTCATTTGATTGTGTTTCTTTGATTACTCATCAATCGAATACATTTAAAACCAGATGCTATATTTCACATGTATATATATAATCGTTGAATATTTATTATAAATAACTATCAATAAATTATACTCATGTCGATGATAATATTTTTCTTGTTTTGCTTTATACCCATAAGTAATTGTGATATTACTTGTCGAACAACATCATGGTGGGTTTTGCAACCATTTCCAAAATCTCTATTACAGCAATTTCTTGATGAATCAAAAGTAACTCTTACATTTAATACATCAAATCCACTAGCAAGATTTATGCAAGATGATGAACATCCTGTTTATTTTGAGTTTAATAAGCAAAATGATTGTGAATATACAGCATTACCACCAATATTAGCTAATATCACTGAACAAACATTTGTTGAATTCAAGCTAGAAATACCTTATCTCATTCAAAATAATAAAAACATAATGCTTAAACCACTTCTCTATCAAAATAGTTTACTGAATGTTTTTGCCACACATGTTGTGTATGGTCTTCCAGCTAATTTCGTATGTTAATTATAATTGTTTTGTATTGTATTATGTGTAAATAAATTTATTTAAATATTTAGGCAACTATGAATGCTGATTTTGACAAGAATACATATTCAATTTCATATGAAAAAGGATTAGTTGACGTTTCGTTTGAACCATTAATACCAAATTTAGTACCATTTGGATCACCAGGAACAGCGAATTTTTCATCATTTGTTGATGCAAATGTATCACCTTGGCTTGCTTTTCCTTTCTTCAGCCTCTCTCATAACACAAAATGCGCTTCAAATATATATAATTTTACTGCACCAGCTCTTATTCGACCAGTTAAAATGGTATTGAATATCACCGGTAATATACTAGAAGCAATTCCAAGTGGTACCTATACAAACGAAGGAAATCACCCATTAGGTGCATGGCAGATTGATGTACCATCAAAAATTACTTCGACCTATGGCTGTGATTAAATGCGCTTTGTTTTTTCTTATAAAATAAAATGAGTTAAAAGAATGAAAATATTTATATCTATGAGATGCTCAGTTTTACTGTTGCTATAATTGTCATATGTGTTGAATTCTGTCTTTCTCATCTTAACAACGATAAATTTTGTTAGTTTTCAATCAAAATAAAAACTTGTTTTTTAGAAACATTGTTTGCATGTCAAGAAGTGTATACTTTATGTTGAATAACTAATCAAGGGTGTGGATGTGGGTATGAATTGAACATAACACCCACGTCCGCACCGTATATTGTACTATGGCTTTAGACACCTATCGAATCCGTCTGTAGAATCCTATGAAATCCGACATTTGGATCTAATGGAATTTCGATAGGATCCTACATCGAATTAGAGGACTTGGGAACACGACCTAACACTTTCACCATTTTAGATTCTTCTAGATATATTTTCTATCGTGTTTTTATAGATATGATCGATATCAAAGTATGTAATCTCTTAGTCTTTGCTTACAAAGATAAATTTATACATTTTAGAATAAATTAATATTGGCTGCACACTGGTCATTAATCGATAATGGTTTGATTGTGAAAGATGAAGAGAGGAAGTAACCAATTACATATTTTTTTATGAATCTTTTTTGTCTTTTTATGTAAAGGAGAATTTAGTTCGGCGACAATCAGTTATTTCAAAACAATATGTCCATTTAAGCAGAATATTTTTATGAAGAAGAACAGTTTCATATTCTGTATATAGTCAAATCAGATAGTTTTTATCCATTTATAGTTTTCTTTCTGCATGTAGTTTAATAACTAGTCAAAACTCTATTGGTTTTCAATCAGATACATTGATTTCATCAATAAAGATGGGTAAGTTAAGAATTTGTTGGCATTTGCATTCATTTCTATTTATTCTATTTGAGGGGTAGGTGTGTATTTTCTAGTAATTGACACTCACACCCATACCCTTCCACAGAAGGACAAATTAGGAAAAGATATTCAGTCTAATATTGTTTACATGGTATATTGCTCTGATTGTAGTGACAGTTATATAGGAAAAACCATCCGACAGGCAGTAAGACGACATTATGGACATGGGCACCAAGATCGCTTACAGCTCTTATCATTCAACAAAGAACTGTCTCAAAGTTAATATATTAACATCTACGTTGATCTGATCGTATTAGAAGTGGATCAGCGGTTACATACTTGCCTACATTGATGGTCTCAACAAAGAAATTAAAAATAATCGACAACAACAATTACTGAAATCAATTCTTTATAAATATGAAATAGAAACAATTCGCCAAATAGACTGGACTGATTGGAAGATCCTTGCAAAAGATTCAAACAGATATATATTATTAGTCCGTGAATCCTTACAAGTATTCAACAAGAGATGCATTCTACTCGCACAACTTGTTCTATCCCACTGATTGTTTTTCCTAAAGAACCCTCCAGAAATCCAAGGTCAAAATCAAATTACAATAGACCAAGAGCCGGTACAGATAGTTGAATATGCGCATATTAAACAGTTCTTGCTACTACCAGTGTTTTCCTTTCTATTCTATTGAATAATTAGAAAACCAATAGTCTTTCGTATATCTGACACATATTCTTTTTCTCTCTATTGTTAATTTTGTCTTGAAAATGACATTTAATATATCGAAACGTCGACTTTATGTTTAATAAATAAAATAAATTTAGTTGCTGTTAACTGATCCTTTCATTACAAATAAGAATGAGAAAACATAGATAGTCTATATAGAGCATATTGACATATTCTAATCGTTTGAGTTTTATCTTTTTATCATAAATGACCTTTGCATTTTAAGGAGCTACATATGTTATTAATTACTTATTTAAATGTTGAATTATCAGTCGTTTATCTATTACAATATCAATTAATTTCATAATACAAATAAAAATATAAATTTCAAAATGAATAGTATGCTGTAAAAAGAAAGAAAGGTTGAATAGATAATTATTAATTCTAATAGTACTGGCTATCCTGATAGACTTTATTAAAGATTTAAATGATCATAATAACTATATTTAATACACTTTCTTATGACAGAATTATATAAACTGAAAATCATTTAGCGCCAGAAAATATGCAAATGAAAACAAATAGAATAGTTTGAAAAGAAAAAAAAGTCATATATTGTTATTTTGATTTTCATTTAGATTTTATGAATACCAAGAATAAGACGATGGAAATGACTTAAAGTTATTTTCCACGGTCCATTAAGCAAATAATATTTCGACAAATTTTCTGATGTCATTGGTACATTTGGATTTTGTTGTTGAAAAAAATTTTGTAAAATATTTTTTACGGCAAAAAATGAACTTGCTTGATTATCTAATTAATAACAGAATAAAATAGTTATTGTGAATAATAGACATTCTATCTTTATGAAATTATAAAGCTTACCGATTTGAAGAACGACACTTCCATTAAAATCATTCGATTTGCACCATGTCATTTTGGAACAGTTACCACATTTTAATAAATGTCCCTTGCCTGCCATTGGTATTAAATTTATTTTACATGAAGGACATATCATTTCTTTTTGTAAATTTGGAATTTCTTCGAAACAGGTATTGATTTGTTGAATGTCGATTTGATTGAATAACATTGATTCTTCCATGTTATGTAAATTAGGATTGATGGTCTAAGAAATTATTTATACATATTTATATATACATACATAACTGAAATATTACTTACATTTGTTGTATGAGAAATTGTACTATTTGGACTTGTACTTAATATCATTTTATCATGTGTTTCTTCCCGTTTTATTTGATTAAATATAAAAGTTTCACTCATTTTCAATGAATCAATTAAATCATTGTGTACCAATAAAGGTGTAGTACCACTACTATCTCCAATAATAAACATTTTATATCGACATGGTTTTTCATTTTCATTAAAACTAATCTCTTCATTTTCATCTAATACTACAGCTTGCAATCGACTTGGTGTATTAGATAGAAGTGCATCATAAATTGTGGTTGTTCTTATAATGTAATCAGATTGTACAACTTCACTTTCAGCCCAATCTATACACTTGTCATCTTTACTATTAATTGAGACTTTTATTGTTTGTCGATTAGCTTTAAATATAAAAAAATGATGTAATATTTATGTTGAAATTATTTTTATAAAATGAAAAAATTATCAACCTAAATTAACTTTTTCAATCTGAACATTTTCTTGCGTTCTACACGAGCACGAAAAAAAAAATTCTCTCTCTCTCTAGTATTCTATGTTCATATTCAGCTACACTTAGAGTCTAGCATTATTATTTCTAAACATAAGAAAAGACGAGAAATAACTGTTTTTTTTTCATATAGAAAAAAAATTACAATATAAACATATATTTAAGTAACATTTAGGAGCTGATTCAGTATTACCTTCATCTTTGGTTAGTGTGCCTTCTAAACGAACAGCTGATTTGTTTTTTTCAGCAGATAAAAGTATTTTACCAGACATTGTTTCTTCAATACTCATTGTTGAAAAAACCCAACCAGATATAATTTCTTTGTCGGGTTTTATTAGTTGAAAACGTCGAAAATATTTAACTTCACCACGTTTTTCACCCGT